GTAGCAAACTAAATCTTTGTTTTGACCCACTTTCACTTGTCAGATTTTGATAAAATTTAGCTTTTTGGAAAGCCTTTGACATAAGAAAACGAATTTCACAAGTTTTGCGAAAAAAAATTGCAAATTTTTTGCAAACAACCTGTCAAAGGAATTTTGCACATTTTTAGTTTTTCTTGATTAAAAATCAGGTTATTTAAAATTTTGCAAAATTTTTTGCTTATTTGAAATGGCATGGTCAAGGGCTTATCAAAAATGTATAATTTTTCATTTTTTGGACAAATTTTATTTTGCCAACATTTTTACTTTATAAGTGGATTTTGCGATAAAAAATTCAATTTTTGCAAATTTGCAAATTTTTTTGCAGATTCTAAAAGTAGAGCACAAGAGCTTTCCAATGATGTATCATTTGTCATATTTGGACATCAAACATGGGATTTAGAGGGGGGGGCAAATTGACCCCCCCCCAGCGTATCCTGGTTTTCAAGTACCCCAGTAGAGATAGGGTTAATCAACATTTTATGTGGTTGCAAACAATTGTAACTAGCCTTTCAAAAATATTACGGGTCCGTCCTAGTATACGATTTATGATCGACCAACTTTATCCATGTGTTAAATATAGGATGCATTTACAAAATTGAAAGGGGGGAGGGTCCAATAATCATTCTCTAGAAAATTATCGATATTACTTTCTTGGTGTCGAGTTGTGTCCATTCCTATAGACAAGATAAGTTTTCAATGAATAACTTGATTGCAGTTTGATGTATTAAAGTATTTTCGCGTTTTTGTAATTTTAATTGAGATTTTATTAAGATGAATAATATTTGTTTTATGATTCCATAACCAAATATGTCCATACTTATTTGACATATTCTACTCTTCCTTTCACTCAAATCAAAACAACAAATGCTATTTCTATTTACATTAATTTCATTTCGCACTCAAAAAATTGCACTCCAATATCTATTTTTCTTCTAGATCAGCACTAGCACACAATTTATTGAACTTGTATCCCTTTTTAATTGACACTTGCCTTGTAATGTTAGATCAAATTATCAGGCGCTTTCTCCTTGTACGAAATACTATTTCAGTTTCGTTTTCATTTTTCTACTTTAAAGGGACTGTAAAGGAAAAATGAAAGGGGGTATAGGCTGAAACCTAAGAATTTTAGGAGTTAATCGAGACCTACAAGAGTTCTATCTGATGTTCCTGTCTCGAGATATTGATGAAACTGTGTAAAAGTTATACCAAAACTTATATATATAAGATTTGGTAAAAGATTCTAAGTTTATTATTTGAATTTAATAATTTTTCATTTTGAATAGATAGGGACCAAAAAATCTCTTTTTAACTTCTAAAATGCATAGGTTTCAGTCTATACCCCCTTTCATTTTTCCTTTACAGCCCCCTTTAAAGTACAATAGGGTGCTGCAATTATGTTATATCATACTTTATGTATGTTCAGAATAATTGACCTCTAACGTTTTCCGATATCCTATGATAGAAAACTAGTGTTAAATGCAAATTTTTAAGGTTTGAAACAACATGCAGAGAGCTTAGACGGACAGAAAAGCCGTTCTGTTTCTCCCCAACTGGAATTAGTAAACGAAGTAACATTTTTTATCCTCATCAGAATTTTTTTTGTCAAACCTAAATTATTTATACTAATGTTGTTTCTATTTAGACACATCAATTACCGCGTCTTGTGTTCCAAAATGTAAATGAGAAAAGAGGAAATAGAAGAGTAGGAAGGGGTGAAAAAAGAAAGGAGGAATATATCAGGGGAGGACGTCATATTTCTCATTTGAAGCCGGTATTGTACAGTTTTTTACCACATTTCAATTCTATACAGTTTTACTTTTGCAAGGATAGCGGAAATTTTAAAAGCAAATTGTTAAGACCAAGGAACACAGGCAGTTAGTCACCTTCCTATCTACTAGCTGGTCACAGATCAGGACAGAGTTAGAGTCAGGTCAGCAATTTTTCAGAATCTTGTTAGAAAGGAAGGAACGGATTTTTATTGAGAAAGAAATGCTATGAATTAAAACTAAACTGCATTTATTTATGACTAACTGAAGTGCCCGATTTTGCCCGTTGAGTTAAAAAAGTGAACAAAAATTAACAAAGAATTGAAGAACAAATTTCCATCTTGAAAAATAAATCAGCCAATTTTTATCTGTCATTTGATCAGCTATAGCTAACATATAAATATACTAAGCTTTTAGGGCGCTCCGCGCCCATCTTCTATTTAAATTGTGAACATGTTCCTTTTGTTTACATTTTAAAACATCGAGGAAGAAAAAATTTTGCGGATCTAAAAAATAAATTCGCGGATTTTCAAGAATTTAATTTTTTTTTACAAAATTAAAAACCTTTAAAACACATTTTTTTAAATCATTCATAAACCTTCCCTGTGGTCATGTGATTTCCCAGAAAAAATTTGGGCCCGATCGGTTCAGCGATTTTGACGTTTATTGGAAACAAACAGACAGACAAACAGACAAACAAGCCAAATTTATATATAGATTTATATGAGGGAAGAGCTTTATTATAGTGATAAACTGTAATTTGTTGATAATTTGAATTTTTAGATTGCGGAGTAGTAGTTTACAGTCAATCAAAGACATCAGATGTTCTAGGTGATTTTAGAATATATTCTAATAATGTTTTTGCTTTATTATTATATTCTCATTACAAAAAATATCTAGATTTTACACCTTTGGATCTGGACTCCTGGATGGAAAAGAAAATATATGAAAAGTTAATGCTTGATCTGTAAAACTGGAAAACCCTAGTTTTTGAGTTTAATTTATCAAACATTCTAGGCTTTACGTTCTCTTTTATAATATTTCACCTTTTTTTCTACGTAAACTATTATAATTGAAGATTTTGCCTAGTTTTATGTTTTCATTTGTATTGTGGCTGTAATTTAAAATTTAAAAAAGTCAAAATATGACAGAAGTTTAAAAGATTTATTCTGACCGACTAAAAACTTTCCTGAAACTATTTGAAATAAAGATATAGTAAAAAATAACCGTTGAAACCCCAATTTTTTATTTTCTTCAAAGCTGCTCAATCAATAATCTAAGATATCTTAAAGTTCAGTATAATAAAAGTTTGTGATGTAAAATTCTAAGAATTAGCTTGTTATATACACAAAAATAAAGAGGCTCTTTTAAAACGCTTTTAAAACATATTGTAAACTATGATTGACATTTTTTTTGTGATGAATATGTATTAGTATTAGCTTATTAGCTCCAGGAGTAGCTGAGATTTAGCTTATTAGCTCTAGGAGTAGCCAAGGTTTAGCTTATTAGCTTCAGGAGTAGCTGAGGTTATGCGTATTAGCTCCAGAAGTAGTTGAGGTTCGGCTGATTAGTTCCAGGAGTGGCTAAGGTTTAGCTTATTAGCTTCAGGAGTAGCTGAGGTTTAGCTTATTAGTTCCAGGAGTAGCTAAGGTTTAATTTATTAGCTCCAGAGTAGCTGACTGTACATAGGATGAAGGAATAGTGAATTTGTGGTTAAGAAGTCTAAGCTGTAGATTGTTATCCTCGTCCAATCCTTGAGCTGTTTCCGACCAGGAGGCAATGTCTTTGGCCATGGTACGTTTGTTGTATGGGGTCACTACTTTAGAAGTACGTTTATTGCTTCTAGCTGTAAATACATAATAAATAACAAATGTATAAAAGGAGAGGAAGATGAGTAGGTCTTCTCTGGTTCCAGAATCCGACACTACTGATTCGCGGATTTCATAATCCTCGTTCGGGGATTTCTTCCTCTACACCATCTTCTATTTCAATTGTAAACATTTTCTCATTGTCAACATTGTAAAACAAAAACAAAAAATTCGCGGATTTAAAAAAAATCCGGCCGTACATTTTCAAATTTTTTTTTCAAAATTCGAATTTTGTTAAAAGCAAATTTTGGAAAATTCGATCATCCATAAACCTTCCCTGGGGTCATACGAGGTCCCATAAAACATTTGGGCTCGATCGGTTCAGCCGTTTTGATGTTTATTGGATACAAACAGACAGACAAGCAAAGTATAAATACTTTATGGGTTAAGTTAAGACAATTTCCGAGTCTTTTCGTTGTGAACGTATTTATTTTAAGTAGCGAGAACCGAACGTTTTAAATTTGTAAAAAAAGTGTGGAAACGTTCTTTCTCTATAACGACGTACGTGTTTATAGAAAATTCTGGACAAATTTCAAGATAAACTCCCAGTTAGCTTTTCCTATATTTCATTTCTAGATTCTTACATTTTTTTAGTCAATATAACTATTCGCAACTTGTTTGTAACGAGTTGTTATTTTCTAAATTAACATATTTTTATGATTACTGAAGATGATTTTTTTTCTGCGAAGCACTCGAGTATAGTAATTGTAGCAAATAAAGAACTTATGCACTTTATCTGAAAGCTTATAAACCCACATACATATTTAGTGCCTTTAATAAATTGATTTTTAAATTGAATTTTGTTTTCAACTTCGTTTAATTTCCTAAAGGTTTAGGATTTAAAAGATATTTTTTTATTGCTAACAATACATATAACTGCAATTATAATGTTACATGTAGGGTTTCCACGAAATGGATAAATCTGTTGCGCAAAATTTGCGCTATTTCGCGCAAATTTTTTTTTGCGAACTTTTGCGCTATTTTTGCGCATGAAACGCAATGAGTTTTGCGCAGTTTTCCGTTATTTTTTTTCGCAATTTGCGCAAAACTGGAAATATTTTTTGCGAAAGTTGCGAATGAAACGAAATTTTGGTTTTGCCCAATTTTTTTGCGCAAAACAGCAAGTTTTACGCAAAATGTAACTTTTTAGGCAAATTGTCAAAAATTGATATTCTAAGCTTAGAATTGAACAACTGAATATTTATTCCATACATAAAAAAAATATTAACATACGAGTGTAATAAAGATTATACTACACTCAATTGGTTACTTCCCGTTACAAAAAGTTTCAATTAAGGGACCAAAATTAATTAAATAGAAATTAGAGAGTGTGAAACTTGGCAATATTTTAATCCTATTAAATAATTTCAAGTGACCCTTAAAGGCTTTGCCTAATCAAGTATGAATTATATTCTTAAATTTTTTAATCAAATTTCTGAAATCTTTTTAATCTCATGAAAAATAATGCAAGAAAGTAACCAATGCCTGAAGAATCCACTTTTAGGAAATATGCATGTCCAAAACTAAAATTGTCGAGAAAATTGTGAGATTTGAACTCTTCTTAACTGTCATTGGTCAAAATTATGTAAAAGTGACCAAAAGGAAGACATTTCAAAACAAGATTTTCCAGAATTTAATTCTAAGAAACACACACGTCGTCACAAACCGTTTAATTTTTAAGATATTGCGGAATTGAAACTCTAGTTGCGGAATTACACAAAACTTGAGTTTCGCAAAAGCGGAATTGGGCAATTTTGCGCGAAATGACTTTTGGGAATGATTGCGCAAATTGTTGTTTTTTCGCGCAAAGCTGATGTGCAAAGAAAGAAAAATTTTGCGTTTTTGTTCCGCAAAAATTGCGCAAAAGTTTTGCGAATGGAAACCCTATACATGCAGAAAAGATTGCAATTATCCATTAATATTAACATTGACAATATGTTAAGTACAGTTTAATGTTACTTGTAGTCTAGGGATGTTGACGTTTTCATTTTTCAGAAAAACGATCATTTCTTTATGAAAACGACGACGAAAAATCGAAAACGAAACGATCGTTTTTAAAAACTATCGTTTTTTTTTAAAAATCGTTTTTTAAAAATGGTCGTTTTTAAAACGATCGTTTTTATAAAATTCGTCGTTAACGTTAAAGACGAACCTTCGTTAACAATCTTTAACGATAACCCTTCGTTAACGATCTTTAACGATAACCCTTCGTTAACGATCGTTAACGACGACCCCTTCGTTAACGATCGTCAACGAAGAGAGGAAACCGACCTGAAGGGAATCAGTACTTATCACTGAGTAGTTTTTAAGAACTGTTAAACTTCATGTGAGACGACATTCAATAAAGTTGCATGTAATTCTTTTCCAAAAACGACCGTTTTGGAAAAGTTCGTCGTTTCGTTAACGATCGTTACCAACAACCCTTCGTTAAAGATCGTTAACGACCGTTAACATAATTGTCAATAACATTTTCAAAAACGATCGTTTTTTAAAAACAATCGTATAAAAAACGGTGGCAAATCGTTTTTAAAAAACTATCGTTTTCAAAAACGATCGCTATTCGTTTTCTAAAAGTTCAAAACGAGTGGGTCGTTTTAAAAACGATCGTTTGTAGAAAGTGTAAGGTGCAGCATGAAGAAAAAAATTGTTTTTAATTTTTGAACGTATAAGCATGTACACCAATCGACCTGTATTTTTACATTTATTCTTTGCAAGTATACTGGGTTCCGGCCGGAATCCGTCTCCCTGAACTCCCTGCAGGAGCTCCTGGTTCAGCTTTTTTTTGGGTAAACACTGTTCTCTATAGTTTCAGTAGAAGTAAATATTAGTAATACTATTCCATTGGTTCATAATATACGACACAATCATATGCCTGAACCCTAATTGGATCAGGCGATAATGGAAAGAGAACAATATTTTAATAAACTTTTGTTTAATTTTTTTTAGGATGAGATCATCAAAATAACTAGTCAACAGAGGAACTTTTATAAGATTAATGAGTTGTGAATGTGATTTGGATTGTGGAGTTGAAATATTTGTGGGAAAGGTGGTAAGCGTCCTCCCCATCTCGTGCGCCCAAAAATCATGGTTAGTGTTCGTCTTCAGTTATATCCCACATGTTGACGTCTAAACAGGAGGGAAGAAATTAATCTAGCTGAAGCTTACGCGTCTTTCACCGAAATAGAAATAAAGCTAACTGCAATTGTACTCATTATAATATTGTGCTCGACTGTTACCAATAACCACATATTAGTATAAGATTCGAACCTTGTCCAGAAAAAAGACTTTGATAAAGACTTCAGGGAGGGGAGAAAGGCCAGCCACAACAACCTCTCGTCCGAGCCACATTCTCCTTATTTTCTCATCCGAACCACCTAGAAATCCTCGTCCTTCGTTTATTATGGGTTGACAAATTTCTAATTCTTGAAGATAAAACTATTTTTATCAAATCTGGCCACGTTAGGGCATAAAATATGGATAGACTAAAGTATTGCAATGATTAAATCATGTTTGAAACTCTGGAGACATGAGAACGATGTCAAACTTTATTTAGGTAAAACTTAAAACTCTTCTGCCTCCGTAATAGCCTACCTTTGTGATATGAAATAAATAGAAAAATATTTGGCATACCTATGCCTACCATTTTCCCCATGAAGCCACCTGGAAAAAATCTATGGTTTTTACAATAAAATATTAAAATTCTATAATCTCGGAATTAATTGCGGCATTCTACACCAGGAATATCTGAAAATGCGCGTAAAAAGGTGATCATTTTTAAGGACATAAAACTCGAAAACTTTAATTCAATTTAAACTTTTGTTTCGAATAACTAGAATTCAATATTTCATTTATGCCCTAACGTGGCCGGATTCTTAAAAAATTGTTGGATCTTGGAGAACTAGAAACTTTTAAAAAATAATATTGGAAGGACGAGGATTTAGAGGTGGCTCGGACGAGAAAATGAGGAGAATATGGCTCGGACTAGAAATTGTCTCCCCTCTTTCAGGGCACTCTTGTTTGCCGAGTTCATTAGCACCTGATCCAATCAGGGTTCAGTCATGTGTTTGTTGTATATTCTGAACCAATGGAAATAGTATGGCGGTAACATCTATCTTTCTATCTATCTCATTATCAAATTAGAGTTATACTGAGAAATTCTCCGAAATGCTTCTCTGGAAATTCCTGAGAAATTCTTAATATTTAAGGATTTTAAGGGGATTTTAATAAAAGAATTACTTTCGAGAAATTCCTGGGAATTTCTCCGGAATTTCACACCAAGAAATTCCTGAGAAATTCTCCGGAATGCTTCTCTGGAAATTCATGAGAAATTCTTAAAACTTGGTCACCAAGTTTACGGATTTTTTGGGAATTAGATAAGAGAATAAGTTTCAAGAAACTCCTAAGAATTTCCCAGGAATATTTCTTCGGAAATTTCTGAGAAATTCTCAGGACTTCCTCACAGAATTTTCAAGTTCCGTTTTTCACCAATAGGTGTCTCTGAGGTTCTCTTCTTTTATGCATAGGTGTCTCTGAGGTTCTCTTCTTTTATGCACTGCTCAAACTAAATCTTTTTTTCTTTGCATCCTTATTGATAAAAAATGATAATTTTCTTCAGAACCATCTTTTAAAAAAATATTTAAAAATTTTAAAACATTTTTTTTTTATTTTTTTTTGACAATTCACTTGTCTGAATAAACAAAATACATGACAACTTCAGTAAGATCTACATTGACTATAACATTCTGACTTAAGAAGATGGTTATACTTCTAGAAAGTTGGTGGGGCAATATAGTTGTTAAGTTATTCACTACTTTTGTTAGTGAATATTTCAAGAAAATCTTGGGAACATTTCCAGGGAAATTCCCAGGAATTGGTTCTGAAGAATTTTTTTCTTCAAATTTTCTCTGGTTTTTCTGAAGAATTGGTAACAAGAAATTCCCTAGAATTGGTTACAAGAAATTCCTTGGATACAGTTACGAGAATTTCCTTGGAATGGGTAACAAGAAATTCCTCGGAATGGGTTACAAGAAATTCCTCGGACCTGGTTCCTGGGAATGGGTTACGAGAAATTCCTGGGGAAAGCTGTCGACATTTTCACCGGATTTTCCTGTGAAAGGTTCCTGGGAATATCCGCGGATTCCCAGGAAAGATTCCTGGGAATTTCCGCGGATTTTCCGCAAAATTGTTACTTGGGAATCGACCTGTATTTTTACATTTATTCTTTGCAAGTATGGCAAAAGGGTTTGCTTCTTTGGGTATAATTTTACTAACTTACTGGGTTAGGGCCGGAATCCGTCTCCCTGAACTCCCTGCAGGAGCTCCTGGTTCAGCTTTTTTTTGGGTGAACACTGTTCACTATAGTTTCAGTAGAAGTAAATATTAGTAATACTATTCCATTGGTTCATAATATACGACACAATCATATGCCTGAACCCTAATTGGATCAGGCGATAATGGAAAGAGAACAATATTTTAATAAACTTTTGTTTCAATTTTTTTAGGATTAGATCATCAAAATAATTAGACAACAGAGGAACTTTTATAAGATTAATGAGTTGTGAATAAGATTAATGAGTTGTGAATGTGATTTGGATTGTGGGGTTGAAATATTTGTGGGAAAGGTGGTAAGCGTGCATTAAAAAACTCCTCTCCAACTCGTGCGCCAAAAAATCATGGTTAGTGTTCGTCTCCAGTTATATCCCACATAATTGCGATTGCACACTGCACAATTGTTAAGACACATTAATATTGTGCGCGACTGTTACCAATAACCACATATTAGTATAAGATTCTAACCTTGTCCGGAAAAAAGACTTTAATAAACACTTCAGGGATGGGAGGAAGGCCAGCCAAAACAACTTCTCGTCCGAGTCACATTCTCCCCATTTTCTCGTCCGAACCTCCTCAAAATCCTCGTCCTTCGTTTATTATGTGTTAAAAAGTTTCTAATTCTTGAAGATAAAACTATTCTTATCAAATCTGGCCACGTTAGGGCATAAACTCATGTTTGAATCGTAGAGATATGAGAATGATGTCAAACTTTATTTAGGTATAATTTAAAACTCTTCTGCATCTGTAATGGCCTACCTTTGTGATATGAAATAAATAGCAAATTATTTGGCATACCTATACCTACCATTTCCCCATGGAACCACCTGGAAAAATCTATGATTTTTACAATAAAATTTTAGAGTTCTATAATCTCGGAATTAATTGCGCCATTCTACACCAGGAATATCTGAAAATGTGCGTAAAAAGGTGATAATTTTTAAGGACATAAAACTCGAAAACTTTAATTCAATTGAAACTTTCTTTTCGATTTACTAAAATTCAATATTTTATTTATGCCCTAATGTGGCCCGATTCTTAAAAAATTGTTTGATCTTGGAGGACTAGACACTTCTAAAAAATAATATTGGAAGGACGAGGATTTAGAGGTGGCTCGGACGAGAAAATGAGGAGAATGTGGCTCGGACTAGAAATTGTTGTGGCTGGCCTTCCTCCCCTCTTTCAGGGGGACGTAAATAAGGATTTTCAAGGAGTGGGGTATTTAAATATCAAAAAAATTTTGGAGACATTTTTTGAAATTATGAGCATCCATAAACCTTCCCAGGAGTCATGCAAGGTCCCACACAAAATTTGGGCCTAATTGGTTCAGCCGTTTTGACGTAATCTAAACAAATATTATCTATTCATCTTTTTAATGCTATGGAGATTTCTTAGCAACCCTTGAACTGTCATGTCTGCAAAATTAGTTTGTTTTGTGGTTTTTACATTTAGTTTTAAAATTCAGGAATTTGCAATTCAAATACAATTTTAGTTTATAATATGAATTTTAAAACCTGTATCTTTCGTTGCCAACCATTTCCTTGTTTTTTAACAATATTTTTGTGCATATATTTTATTTATATTTAGGATGTACAAAATGCAGATACTGAGAAAACTAATTTTCCTCAATTCCTTTCTCTTATTACAGGGTTGTTCAAATAAATGGCGGTATACCGTAAAGGAATTGATCCCGAAAGGGGGCTTACTTAATTAGATCAAGACCAAGTGTAATGCTCACTGATATTTCTATAAAAAGAAATGACATAATTCACATATAAGATTATTTTCTAAGTTTGGGTCACATCAAAACAACTCTGGTTTAGAATATTTGGAAATGTTTTTTTACAAGTACATCTAATGAACATTTAATGCAGAAAGCTTTAAAAGGAGTGACCGGCAATGTATGGTAGTTGAACTGAGAATGTAGTATTGTAGAGAAGTTGTAGGATTTATTTCAGACATATAACACGTTTTAATGATGTATAATTACCGAGTTAGAGCACAAAGTCGACGTTAAAAATCATCCATTTGGATGGTTACGTTTTGAGAATTGATTTTTTGAAATTATTTAATAACGACGACAAAAAATGTAAATAAGTCTACAGTTAAGTAATTAGATATTTAGGAATATATTTCTCAATTGAAAGGAATTGAGTCTTTGCCACAAATTCAGATTTTCTAATTTCTCTATCTTTGTAACCAAAGGTCGTAGACCATAGTTATTTCAATTATGAATTCTGTTAGATCAAATAATCTAAGTTTGAAATATCAAAGGTTTACATCATCAGGTTCCAAAGATATAATAGGGGTTAGAAAATTGAGTTTGTGGCAAAGACTCAATTCCTTTCTCAATAAATCAATTTTAGAATCAATTATTTCTTTTTCTTCATTATTTTGAATTTCTTATTCTTTAAGAATTTGTTTGTAGATTTCTTCAAATTCTTCAAATGTCGTCTTTTCAATAAAATTCCAGGAAATCAACAGAAAATGTTTGATAACAATGAGATATTACAGAAATCAATAACTGAATAAGATTAAATTTTTTCGATGATAATAGGAATTTTCTTTCTCAACATGTTTCTAAACAACTAATTAGTTTACTGTAGAATTTATACAATATTTTCGTCGTCATTTTTGATAAATTTTTTAACCCGATTTTCTAAATCATCCCTTAAAAATGAACAATCTATGAGGATTTTAAATATCTAATTTGCGCTCTTGCTGAACAAATATGCACCGTAAAAACGTCTCCCAGGTCTCAAATGATTCCTAAAGAATTTCTCCACAATACCACTTTCTCAGTTCAACTACCAAACATTGCCAATCACTCCCTCTAAAAACTCATTGAAATTTTAATTTGACTAGCTACTTAGCATAATAAAGCCAATAAGCTCCTATATTAAACTAAAAATCTTTGACCAAAGAAATCCTGAGAAAATTTGGTGAGCGTGCAACTGAGAAGTTAAATTTTTAATTTGATTAATTCTATGCCTTTTCTTGGTCCCTTGGGCATTTTTTCTCATTATGTACAAATTATAAATAATCTCATGAGGCCAAAATTAATATCAGAATTCATCGAGGAATGTTTTAATCTTTCACGAAATAACCTTATTATAAGATTTTATATAGATACAAAGTATTTTGCATCATTTTTAAACAAGGCCGTGAAAAAATTTTTTAATTGGACACCCTCTTTGTTACTTTACCCAACGATCATTAAACTTTCTCCTAAATATCAAGAACGTTGCGCAATTTTCATTTAGTCTAAAACCATCCATTTTTGAACACTTGATTGCAGGCAGAAAACATACTAGACTTTTTACAAAGCAGAGATGACCTACAACAGGTAACTACAACATTTTCAATCTGATTTTCAAATCCAAAAAATCCGTTTTATGACGACAGGAAAATAAATAAAGCTGACAAATGACAATATTTAGACAACATTTGTGTTTAAATAAATATTTAATACAAATTGTAATGTTGTACAACCAATTTTCTTTTTTACTTCACCTTTACTGTTCTTTTCGCTTGTAAATTTAAAAATCATTTCTTAAGTAAAAGACGAAATTCATTCCCAGTTTTCCGGTTCTCCCTTGAAAAATAAAAAAAACAGATGGTTAATAAAAAAGCTAGATATCCTCTGAGAAGAGTTAATTGATAAATCAATGATATGATATGATGAAATGCTAGCTCATATCGAATTACGACTAGTCCAAGAGCTTCAAAACATTTATTAATATTCAATTTAAGTTTCTGTTGGTATTACAACGACCTGGACTTCACAAAGCATATTTAGAAAGACAGGTAAAAAATTTGTTTGACCTTAAACATCAGTTTGTTTACTTTGATTTTTTTTAATAAGATAACTGTGTTTGTGCCAACAGATAAAGCGCTTCTGGATTACAGAGGAGTCAGGGGGGAGGATTTTGCTCTCAACCATATAGTTAATAGCGTGGAAGTAGAGGTATATTGATTTTATTCTGTATATTTTAAAAAGCTAGAGATTTAAACCATAAAGTACGGATTAGATTTTTAGTTGCCAATACTATGCCAATGTAATGAGCCTAACTTTTAATAGGCAATGCATTCCTAAAACACTATAATCCTTCAAGAGCTTATTTTGGATCGTTTCTTAACGAGTTTTTAAAATAATTTACCAATATTTGACTTATAATACCAACTAAGCCTATCTTGCCCCAATATTTAGAAATAATATATAAAAAAGTTATTTCAAGAAACACGCTTCTTTTGAATAATATCAATCGTTCATTACTTAAATTTGTTTTTTTTTTTAAATTAGGATATGTGTCGACTTTAAAATTCCAAAAATAATTTTGATTTTTATTATATTGTTAATTCTATTGAAAGTCGAAACTGGGAACACGGCTCTCTACTCTTGTGACAGGAGGACCTCCTATATGGGTTACAAGGCGGTCAGCATGGATATATTTTAACCAGGTACATACATACACCCACATTTTATGTAGTTTCTTCTTAAGATTTCTTTTTTTTTAGTTTTTTTAGTTTAGGGTAGGTCAATTTTTTACGTTTCCCCTTGAGAGCTTAGGGTTGCAGTGGGATCTAAACATCCTAAACTAGTAATCTAAGAACTTTCAAAAAAAAAATTAAATTTTCTTATAAATGACAAGCTGAGATCTATTAAAAACAAAAAAAGATTTTAAAAAGTCACTTTTCTAAGACTAGGTTTAAAATTTCTTCAAACTGGATCAATAACGTATCAATAGAACCGTCTTCGAGCACTGAATTCAGAAACTTTAAATTCACAGAAATTCATTAATAAGTAAAGTAAAAAGTAAAAAAAAATAGAGACAAAAACTTTATTTTTTATTTTGGAGTATGTCTCTTGGCACCAAAACCTCAAAGCATCCCCCTCATGTGTAAAACATTTATTTTTGATATTTTCAAATAATTGTTACTAGTCATAGTCAATCACTCGTCTAATCTATTATTCGGTTCAACTGTGGTAGTATATGTTTCTTCTTGAATTCTGTCTTATATGTACAAATTATGTTTGTCGCATATAAAGTTTGTTTTCTCAATTAAAATCAAATTTGCTGACATGACACTAAATCCAAACAATCATAAAATAATTCCGCCCTGGTAAATTTTCTGGAATACAAAAAAGTGATGTGCTGAATCTTTCCATTTAGCAGAAATGTGAAGACTGCAGTGCTTATATCAATTTATTTTTTCATTAAAGTTTTTCATTAAAAATCTTGTTTTCCGAAACTCAACGGGTTTAAGCAAAGAGAATAGAATATATATTAGAGGGGAATTTACTAGAAAAAAGTGTAAAACGGCCATTTTGTTGTACTGTTTCTATACCGCAGGTGTACTTCACATATTTATGCTGTAAAACCTTTTGGGCCCTGGAATAGCATTTTATAGAAAATCTAANTCTATGCCTTCCACTTTACAAACGATGATTTTCCGTTATAACTATAAATCAAATGATATTTTTATTCACCTAATTCATTATAAAATTTATTTAACAGCTTTAAAAAATTCGAAATTGAAATGAATAGTTTAGGGAACATACTGTATTAATGTAATCTACTGCATATAATTTGTGAACATTTAAATGATTTGTACACTTTGAACTCCCTTTCAGGCTGAAAGGGACTAAAAAATTCATACCGAGAAGTTCTCTAAATTCTCTAAATTTCTCTCTAATATATATTCTATTCTCTATGGGTTTAAGTTAATCAGAGTTGAATGTAGTACAGCTGAAAGTACACTCGCTTTTTAAGTCGGATGTAACATTTTCTAAAGTTCTATTTGTTTAAAAAAAGCTATATCTTAAAGAATGTAATTAAATAGATATATAATTACATTATTGTTTCAGGCAAGAGTCTTAGAAAAAAATATAGTACTGAACCTAGGAGGGACGGAACAGCAGGTGTAGAATCGAATTTTATCCTTTACTATTTATTTTCTTTACTTTGAAACTCTACTTTCAAACAAGTCAGCATTTGTGTTATAGATTGTTTACATACTGGATGGTGTCCTAGAACCCTTGCTACCAATCAGTGTAAAAAATGCTACATTTACTCAAGATGTCACTGCCGGAAAGTTATTACAGCTGTAAGTAATAAATATATTTATACAGTTCTATTTTAGCGTAAGATTGAATCAACCTTGAGGTTTCAGTTTTACTGGAAAAAATGTTGTAAAAATCTCTAGGCATTAAGCACATCCTAATGTTGATTTTGATCCTCTCACTTTTAAGGAATACAAATTTAATATCAAAATCACGTTTTTGCCCTGGCAAAATTGTTTAGCGAAAAACAGGAGTTTCAAAGATAAAAGTTAAATAATCTAAGGCAAACAACTAAAAAAAGAATTTGAAAGCCCCCAGCCCTAACCACTCTAAATGTGTATGCATAGGTCGACACTGTATAATATTGGGGATAATCTAGCTACACGAATTTTTTACCAATCTGGTAAGATTTTATTTTGAATTTCTATCTATGGTGTGAATTTTTAAAAATTTGAAAAACTAATAAAAATAAGTTCTACAAGTATTTTTTAAAATAATATCTTATCTTTGATAAACATAGTCATTGTAGTATTTTTTAAATGCTTTTTTTAGATAAAGGAATTGAGTCTTTGTAACAAACTAAAATTTTCTGATCCCTATATCTTAGCAACTTGATAGTGCAAACCTTTGATATTTTAAACTTAGATTATTTGATCTACCAGAATTCATATTTTGAAATATCTAAGGTCTATGGCATTGGGTTGCAAAGATATAGGGGTTAGAAAATCCGAGCTTGTGGCAAAGACTCAAATCATTTTATATTATCATTTTAGCTGTTCTTAACAAAAGAGAAAAAATGTTTGATGTTCCTGGGAGACACACCTTCTTCCTTCCAGTAGATCAGTCATTTCAGGTATATAGCTCAAGTATACGTATCCTGGTTCTCAAGTACCCCAGCAGGGATAGGGAATTAATAGTAGGAATTCATTCAATTAATTTCCATAACCTTTTTATGTTTAAGCCCTGGTAATAAGTATAACATCAAACATAACAATTATTATCTTTATTTTTTTTAAACATACATTTGAACAAATTTGAATGCTTCAGATTTATACATAAATTTAAGTTACGATGAAATAATAATGCCCGGAAGGTTAATGAACTTTAATGTATTTTCTTACTATTCATGCTTCATCTGGAATTCTCGAATAGCTGATAGAACCTGAAAAAGTAATCAAATATCAAAAAAAAAATTAACAAAGAATTGTCTATGTTGTTTGAAAGTATACAATTTATTGCACCATGTGCAAAATAAACAAACTTAAGATGATCTACCTCATCCGCAGCCTCACTTATTGTAATTGCACGTGCATTTCTGGGAACATCAACCTTTCCTGCACAGAAGAAAAATATATAATCAGAAATTAGAGCTGCTACTGTTTTATTTAAAACTACTCATTAAAATGCCGGAACGAATATAACAGATGGATATAGTATGGATCTTATTTATGAATATCAACATTTTTAAGCTGTGTGTTGATAAGACAGACAGATCAATGGTAGGATCGATTAAGTACCATCTATGCCTGCAAAGACTATTTCTCTAGTTGTGAAGGCGGCTAGGGATGTGAAGATGAATATATAGAAACCTCCCATCCAAGTTAAAATCAGTTGATCAGCTGAAATATCCATATTAAAGTCAAGGTGTCAGCTGAAACATCCATATCAAAGTCAAGGTGTCAGCTGAAACATCCATATTAAAGTCAAGGTGTGAGCTGACACATCCATATTAAAGTCAAGGTGTCAGGTGAAACATCCATATTAAAGTCAAGGTGGCATCTGAAACATCCACATTAAAGTCAAGGTCTCAACTGAAAAATCCATATTAAAGTCAAGCTGTCAGGTGAAACATCCATATTAAAATCAAGGTTTCAGCTGAAACATCCATATTAAAATCAAGGTGTCAGCTGAAACATCCATGTTAAAATCAAGGTGACAGCTGAAACATCCAGATTAAAGTCAATGTGTCAGCTAAAACATCCGTATTAAAGTAAAGGTGTCAGCTGAAGCATCCATATTAAAGTCAAGGTGTCATCTGAAAATATTTCTTTCTCTAAGGATTTGGTAGGAATATTTTTTTCTGCAAGCTTCGAGTGAATTTTAGCCTTTATGGGATCATAATAACATACACAATCAGGTTTATGGGATCATAATAGCATACACCAACCAGGTTTATGGGATCATAATAACATACACCAACCAGGTGTATGGGATCATAATAACATACACCAATCAGGTAAGAAAGTAAAGTCAAGAATGTTGTGCTTTAAAAAATCTTATTTTGAGTTATTTTTGGTAAGAAAGTAAAGTCAAGAATGTTGTGCTTTAAAAAATCTTATTTTGAGTTATTTTTCCTGTTCTTTGCTAAATGTTAATCGAAGAAGGATTGTCTGTTCTGTGAAATTCAAGCACCGCAACTTTTTAAAAGAATTACACCGAAAGTAAAACCTTAGACGAAATTTATTTAATAACATTTCTACTCACTAACTCATCAAAGGAATTGGATTTTTTGTTCTTAGGTCAAAAAATCGTTATGTAAACTAACTATTCGTAAACTGAACATATTTGCATATTAATTATTGATTGATTGGTAAAGTTATCATGTCATTCAATTTTTTATTTTGTTGAATCTTTTTTCTGTAGATCAGTACCTGCAATTCCCGAGGAATAAAGTTGGCTGACCGTAAACCAGGCTAAAGTTGTCACAATGAAATTGAAGAAATTCTGTCCCACATGAGTCATGATGTTCTCGTTCTTGAAAATTCCCTACAATCATTTTACCATATGAATTTCAAAGTTTTGTTTTATCTAAAGAATTTAGTGACAACTATAGGATCCCCCAACTCCCTGTATTCGCTTACGGGGGGAGGTTTTAACATTTAATCTATTCTGATTGCTTAATAGAAGATTCCAAAAGTACATTTAAAATCGTTATAAAGGTAATTTCTTACAAAACTGCATCCCTTTATTCTACGTAAATTTAAGAGTAATAACAAAGAGTAAAAAACGCAGAGGAAATTCCATTCAAAGTTTGAGGGGTAATGGAAGACGACGTCCCCCTCGAATTTTTTTTATTCATTACCAACAATTTAAAGGCAGGGATAAAAATACCCNAAATGTTAACCTCATAAACTGTAGATCTATCCCAATATAAAATGTTAACCTCATAAACTGTAGATCTATCCCAATATAAAATGTTAACCTCATAAACTGTAGATCTATCCCAATATAAAATGTTAACCTCATAAACTGTAGATCTATCCCAATCCCAGAAGTTTCCAATATTTCTAAGTGTGTCGGTAGATGGCATGATACTTGTCAGTGTTCCAACAATACCTTTGCTGTCCCTAGATGAACAATAAGATAAAACATATAGTAACTAGGCTTTCAGGGTGCTGCGCGCACATCTTCCATTTCAATTGTGAACATTTTCTCTATGTATAAATAGTAGAACAAAAACAAACAAAAATTCGCGGATTTTGGAAAAAAAAATCGTGGACTTTCAAAATTTCAGGAAAATAAAATTTTTTTGGAGGCAAAACTTTGAAATTTAGATCATCCATAAACCTTCCCTGGGGCCATGTGAGGTCCCACACCAAATTTGGGTCCGTTCGGTTCAACTGTTTTGAGGTTTATTGGATACACACAGATACCCAGACAAGCAAAGTATAAATATATAGATGCTAAGCTTGATCGGCTAATTTTTAAATACAAGTCATTAATTGTTGATTTCTGGCGTTGAAATAATTAACATCTTTCTGACTTTGATTGAAAACTGAAAAATCTATTTATTTTACTCCTCGGTGAAAACTGAAGACCGACATCATAAGGATCCTGTCTCTTTTAAAACACATTAAAGTTACCTTTCGTAATTATTTTGTGGTATCCACGGTCCATATTCAATATTTGACGGAGAACCAGTCCAAGCATTGGTTTGAGAATCGACCCATTCCCCTGGGGCGGCAGCGATGGAGGATATTAAAAACAGCAGTAGAAAATTCATCTATTGAAGAATCAGATGATTTTTTTATTTAATTTTTTTATTATTTTGAAAAAAATATTACACAAAAAATATTAAATATGCATATACATTTTCTTGAATGTGTATAACTTATGAATAGTACTATATAAACAGAAAAAATTCAAGAGTCAGCTGCAATTACTGAGAATTCATGGGTTTACCTTAGGTCTGATAAGCTCTGTGCTCTATGATCAACTGAGTATGAACCAAACCCTAAACCGCTTTGATTGTTTAGCAATTTAGAAAATATGTTTTTTTTCACAGGGTGTCTACTTTTACAAGTTTTTACAATTAACCCAATCTGGCTTTTTAATTTATGAAAATGTGATTTTTATATATGTATATATATTTATATTGATATTTCAGTAAACCCTGTTAACGGTTCAGTATACAGAGGTTCAAAAATAGATAACCTGACCGCTACCTCTGCCTGTAAACAGATCTAAGGATAGATATATAGATAGATAGATAGATAAATACATGGCTAGATGGGTAGGAAGAAGTTAGATAAGTATAGACAGATGTATCAAATATATATATTTAAAGCTTCAGCAGCACTTTAAAACATTGTAGTATATATTTTCGGTATATACAAATTGTTTCATGACTCGATGGCCATTGGCCAATCTTCAATAGTTTTAAATAAATATATGATATAAGATAAAGGAATTGAGTCTTTGCCACAAACTTGGATTTTTAAAACCCAATTTCTTTAAAACCAAATGTTGTAGACCGTAGATATTTCAAACTATGAATTCTGGTGGATCAAACAATGTAAGTTTGAAATATGAAAGGTACGCATCACCTGGTTGTTGAGATATAGGTATTATAAAATTGGGATTTGTTGCAAAAACTCAATTCCTTTATAGAGATATTTATAAATACCATTAACGCGGTTAAAAAATCGAGATCGCTAACAAACGGAAACAGAAGTTTTTAATTAAGAACGAACGGGTACTTAGTGAGCATGTCCGTTTCAAAAGTTTTTCTAACCGTTAAAGAACAAATTGAAACAAGTTTGAATGTGCCTAGCCGTATCTACTACTAGGATCAAACCAGAAGTTTAATAACTTTGTTAACTTTAAAATGCCTGATCTCTTTCCTATACTTCTAAGTCATGTTTCTCTTAGTTTAGATGGTTATTTTAATGAGGAAGGGACGTATGCATGTATTTATTAGGTATGGGAGGGGTAAAAAGTGTAAGGGGGAGAATAAAAGACTGGGTTAAAAAGTTCGACATGCCGTACAATTGTACAATTAGGCATATATGCAGGGTGTTTTTAAAGTGTTTTTTTTTATTTCGTTAAGATATAGATAATATTCCTCCCAAAAAAAAGATAAAAACTCGTTCAGTACATCTTTAAAACTATTTCAAAATAAAAGATAATCTTGCATAAAGACTTCAGAACGTAGTCTTCTCTCAAAGTTAAAAAACCAAGGTCAGGAGGAATTTCCGAAAAATTGAAGTTCAAGTTTTCAAGTAAGTCAACTCACTAAATTCCCTGAATTCTACAGAGTTCCCTTATCAATATTTGAGCCAAATCGGTTTAGGGCTTCATGAGTTATGATTTACTATTTTTTATCTTTTAATAAGAAATAAAAACATCACTTTATAAAAAATACCCTGTACAATTTACTGGCATTGGAACATGTAATTGAAAATGCAATAAAGTCTGTCAGCCCCGAGCTTTCCAATGTTGTATCATT